GTCGCACGGGCCTGCCCGGTGCGTTTCAGCCTGGGTTCTTTTCTTAAAAACAATTTTCCTCTAACTGCACGCCCTTCCCAATTACTGCGTGCTTCAAAATAACGGCGACTGTAGCGTACCGCAGCTCAGTATTACCTTGCATAAACCCTTTCGATAGCTTGCGCAGGCAGTAACAGGTAGCTGCTCGCGTGCGGACCAGAAAATAGTTAGCGACTTTTAGTTAAGATGTCAAAAGGGCCGCTCTTCTCGAAGCAGGAAGAACGATGACATACGAGAAGTGCGGGTACAGCAATACACGCATTATGTATGCCTTGCAGCTCACGTTCCAATGCGTCATTCTCTTGCATCAGACGTCTGTTTTCCGCCAAGATATCCTCCAGTTTGCCTTGCTTTGCCACGATCAAATCAACAGCCTTTTTTAGAACAGCAGCCCGAGAAACCTGTAACAAGGCTCGTTTCCAACACGCAATCTCAAGAATTCAATTCCATTACATGGAGTGCAAGCCTTCAGCAGCTTGTCCGCCCCCCATGTTTTACCTTTTTCTTCGCATGACAAAGAATTGCCAAAACTAATGTAATGCAGCTGCAAAAATTGGGGGTTTTAAGCGAAACACCGTTCGTTTTTCAAACTTTTCATTTAGAAACTATGCATAAATACTCCCTTCAACGGCTCATGCACTTTATACAGCTAACAAAAAAAAAAGCTAAAACTGAGACAAAGACATAGTGCGCGAAGAACGAAGGGTGCCTTGCAGAAATCGCTGCCAGAAAACTAAGCGACCGAAAGCAATGTTTTAATTTCTCAGATTTCCCAATCCTAAAATATTCATTCAATCTTTCTTGTATGCCGCATCCTGCGTCATACTACCAGAAGAACTACTACGCATTCGTACACTGCATGAAATTGGGGATTTAAGCTGAAAGGCCACTGCGGCATTCACATGCATTTTCTTTTCAGCTCCCAAAAGAATCTGAACTGAGAAAAAATACCTTTTATGCCCTATGAAAACAATAGAAAACGGATTATTTCACGGAGTACGGGCAATCAAAGCCCAAACCTCCTTTTTTCGGAGCGGCCAAGGCACTCGGGAAGTAGCCTGAGCGGTAGCAAATTCCACCAGTAACATTCTGGGGAAAGGCGTCGCCACTCTCTTTCGGGGATTGCTAAAGCTGCGGGTTTGAGCGCTTGGGTATACGTCGAAACGAATAAGCAGTATGCAGGGAATCAAAAGTTAAAAGTCGCAAGCCCTTTGAGCAAAACAGCGAATAGCGAGTAAATAAAAGCATACTCTTTCACTCCTCATTCCAGGAATCGCATCCTTCAGCGCTCCGTACATATCCTTGATATTATCGCGACGTCGTCGTTCCAGAGCATTGTGCTGCGCACGAGCATGCAGCCGACTCGCTATCACCGCTGCAGCATTCCTCACACTGTCCTCCTGAACAGTGAAGATTGGCAGGCCCAAAGAATGCCGAAATATCTCCTGATCACACACCGCCGAATTTTCTAGCAACGCTGCGTGACGATGTAGTTTTGACTATAGGCACTTGCCTACTTAACGAATACCTTACACAGCAATGCCCACCGTAAACCACATGATGCCTTCCCCAATTACAACTTCTGCCCGCTCCTAAGCGCGCAAACGGCGCAGCCTTGTGCAGCTAACGTACTCGATGATATGCCCGCGCACTTTAATTCTACAGCGATAATCCCACAGAGCGATTATCGCCCAAAAGCTGCAGTTTGTAGCCTTACTGGGCATTTGGCTGCTGCAAAAAAGGGCTGCAGGAATTTGTGAGATCAGAGTATAATGCGATCTCGGGTTATTCGCTTGCAACTGCCTAGCAATTCCCAAGAACTCTCAATATTGATTTTTCAACTCTAAAGTCTATCCGGATTCAAACCTCAGGCCAAGGCAAAGAAACAGAGACAGGGATGTGCGCAGGTTTTAGGCTGTGTCCGTCTCGTAAAAGTTCCTGAACTACAACCCCAAAACTTAAACAGATAAACTCTAATGCGC